ACACAAAATCTTCGTGATTTAGAGGTGTCCGCTTAGCAATTCTTAGTGACTTTAGTGTTTCATCACCACACAAGTCAAAGGATCCGAAATTCGCACGTTTTCTAGGGATATTTTATCTTTCAAGTAGGTCCTCAAATCCAACGAGATGTGAAGCACACGGCGCATCCCAGAGTGGGCCCAGTTGGTTGCGCGCGCTTCAGCTACGGCTATCTTGATAACGAATCTTAATTCAGGAAGAATCAAGAGGGTTCTGAAAGAGTTCATGTTAAATTACAGAGAGGAGTACACTATTCAACAAGAAACGCAGCCTTCAGCGTCAAATTCACAAGCATGTAACCTTTAAAGTTGAGACCCGCTAAACAATTTTACACTTTTTGCAGAGAGAAAAGCACGAGGATTTTGAATCTGCTCCTACTTCAGTATGTAATCGCTCCTGCAAGGAGCTATAGTCGTTGGGATAGTGCTAAAGTACCTTTCGGCGGTACTCGGGCAAAAATCCTCAACGTGGCCATTTTTTAAATAGTGAACGTATTTAGCAGTTTTAGTTGCCTCTAGAAAGAGCAAATCTTCTAGTTTATGATGACGTATTAACTTTCCAGATTGCATGAGTTTGAACGGAGTTATGGCTTTGGAAAGCGTAAAAACTCGCACTCATCACGAATTTTCCTCGTTAATTTTGCAAAAATCCTCAACGTGGCCATTTTTTGAGTACTGGACGTATGAAGCTGCTTTAGCGACCGTTTGATAGAGAAAATCTTCTAGTTTTGTATGACGTATCAACTTTTTGAATTTGACGGAAATGAAGCAAGTTATTGCTCCGGAAAGTGTAAAAACTCGTGCTCGTCTCGAATTTTCCTCGTTATTTGATCTAAATTTGTTTTTCTTATAACTTCCTGTAATTTCAGTACTGATTAGAAAAAGCTCTTCACAAAACTCCCAAATCAGCTTTCAGATTGAAAATTCGTTAACTTTGAAGAAAGTTATAATCATTTGAATATTTGTTCAAATTTCAATAGTAAATAAGCTGCTCCACGGTCAACGCCAAAGTCCAGTCAACACACAGCTGGCGAAGGCTTTTACAAGGCTTCCTTTGAGCGGGGACGTGTAAATTGAGAACCATAATCTGTGTAGTACTAGAATTTGGTAAGTCTTGTGGAGGAAATAAACAAAGAAGAGGTGTTGTCATAGTACGCCATTTCTAGTGACTAGTTTGACGTTTTTTGCTCCGTTTCTCGTTTGCTCGTTTGACAGGACTCGTCATTAATGATCATTCTTTGACTTTTTCACTTTTATACTTTTTAAAGTTTTTTTTTGTGGACGATGGGGTAGCAGGGCTTTTTTATGAGCAGTTTTGGTGGAGAATTAAACAACTTTTTCATAGTTCGGCTTTTAAAGAGGGTTGTTTCATGGACTTCGGCCTTCGGCAGAGGGAGGGGGGGGGTCGTATTTCCGAATTTTCCTCGACGCCTCGCTTGACCCTGCTTCCTTCGACGCCAGCGGAATGGGCTATTGGAGACACCGTATGCCTCAGCTTAACAGTCCACGACACATCGTTATACCGTGCGTATATTCGCCTTGGCCCAAATCATAACGTCGAGTAGTGGGCTCCTCCGATCTTACTTCTCGGCTCATCGATCGATCGATATCCATCGCATCTACTATGTATTTGGCACGCGCCAGAACCTTGTCCCCTGGGGGCCAGAGAGCAGGCTTAGTTACGCTGCAGGCACGATCGAACGTTGCATCGTTATGGATTCGCGGCGCACGCGTCTTCACGTCAGAGACTTGTTGGGCACGACGGGGGAATCAGGGGCGGGTGCCAGCAGCCCCATTAGGGAGGATCCCAACTTTAGGAGGAACATATCCAACTAGGATATATCCCAACCTTGAGGATATATCCCCAACCTTGGGGATATATCCCCAACCTTGAGGATATATCCCCAACCTTGGGGATATATCCCCAACCTTGAGGGATATATCCCCAACCTTGGGGATATATCCCCAACCTTGGGGATATATCCCCAACCTTGGGGATATATCCCCAAGGTTGGGGGAGATCCACTTTGGGGATAATCCCAACTTGGGATATTCCAGCCCTTGGGGATACATCCCCACCAACGAGGGGATGGGATCCCCAACCTTGGGGATATATCCCCAACCTTGGGGATACATCCCCAACCTTGGGGACATATCCCCATCCTCGACATTCTACGAATCGTTCAAGGGTTTCGTCGCAGGACCCAGGGCTTCCGCATCTCGAAGGCTCACGGACCATTAATGTTTCGTAGCACTATGGCAGTTTCGAAATACAATGGCACGGCACACATAGGAACCGTTACTATCTCTTCACTTCGTGGCTCTTACGAAATACAGTGGCAAATGGTCTTGGAGGCTGAGCGCCTCTTTCACATCGTTAACCATTTTTCTTCAATTGCCTTTCCCTCTTTTTTTTGATTCTGTGGTTTCTTCTGGCTCAGTGTGGCCCCGTGAATGGTGTCAGATTCACGGAAACGCTCAGTTTTGGGGCTGACCCTTAGAGGAGAAGAGATAATCCGAAGTGTCTAAGCAGTCTTCCTTCTCAAGCTCTGCCTTCTCCCTTCTCACGTTGAACAAACTGCATCGTGATGCCCCCTAACTAGAATATACCCCGCCAATTTTCGCCGAACTTCTAAAATTCCTTTTTTAGCGCAACGAGCGGTGGATCCCGCGCCACGCCCTCCTCTCGCAGAGGCACATTGAGCCTTTCCTAGGCACTGTTCACACATTGCGCCACAGCCGAATGACGCTCAAAACGAACGAATCTGCGCAAATGCGAAATGAATGAAATGCGTATCGATCTACAAAATGGGAGGAGCATCGAATCGCGCAAAATCTGCGAATCCTTTTAAAAGAAATGGGTGTCTATCGACCGAGTCAATCGGAGATCGACAGCGCGAAACGGCGGTGCAAAAATCCTCCAGCAACGCTAATACAGCGTGCTCTACAATGTCGACACGCATTTAATCCTTTTCGCATCTGCTTTCGCGCGTGCGCAGATTCTTAACCCTTTCGGACCTGAATTTTTCCCCGTGGAGAAATTTTACTTCTAGCTATTGTTTTACTTGTGAGCATATAGGTATCATTATGGCTAAATTTGGAAGCTATTCGATCACAAACAAAGAAACTGAAAAGCTTTGAAAATTGGCTAACCTTCTTAGTTTTTAAGCTTATGTCGAAACAATTCGAAGTTTCATAGTTGTGTCCGAAAAAGTTTATAATCTTGCATAATATTATAACCCATAATTTTGATTTAGGAATGGATCCACTTCAAGTATTTTAAGACAAAGTCACACTTACTTGGCCGGTTGCGGGGGTCAGCGCCCATTCACTGTTGCACTTGTACACAAATACTTGCAATACTAACAGCAATAAACAATGAAATGGCCGGTTAAGCTCATAATTAGGAAGGGGAAGGTTGACTGAAGCAAACTCTAGCAGAATTAGAAAAACTATGCTGTTTCAGCGGAAATGCAAGCGTTTGAATTTGGTGGTGGCAATTGCCACCGCCAGGGCCGAAAGGGTTAATGTTGATATGTATCTGATTCTTTTCGCAAATTTGAATATTCGATAATTTTAAAACTGTGAACAGTGCTTAGAAAACAGCGAATGAACAAAGGCAAGGTAATGGCGAAAAAAGAAATGCGAATAACGAAGCGAAATAGAGGGTGAAGAAACCCGAAACTGCCTTCAATTCTCCGCGTCGCCAAGTGAGGGGACGAATCCCCCTAGTCTCGACTAGGGGGATGTATCCCCTGCCTGCAGAGACGCAGAGGGTCGACGGCAGTGACCGTCCCGCACGGTTGCGTCACAGGAGCCACCGAAAAACGATGGGTCTTGCGACGAAGTAGGGGATATAACCCCAAGGTTGGATGTGTCCCAAGGTTGCGGATGTAGTCCCCAGGTGGGATCCTCTCTCGTGGGTTGGTGCACCCCGGCCCTGTGCTTTGCACGCCTCATGGAAAATTGCCGGGGCAATCGGGGATTGATCTTTCAAGTCCGCAGGCCAACATACTGATTAATGTAACTTACAGTACGGGGGAGTTGAACGCAATTACAGGACTGCATGGCAGTTTTTTCTTGCTCGTTTCTGACGAGCTTACGTCTTCTCTGCACGTCTATTCTAGATTTTTAAACGCAATAAACACGCCTAACAGGTCACGAAGCCTTGTATTTAGAGATTTCGTAGCACTGATGCAACTTTTCCCCCTTCTGTATGGATCTAGGTGTAAAACGTGAAATGTGACTGTTTGCTAACATGATCCCTGCCATTCAATACTATAATTTTTCGGGCCTGCATTAGAAAGGCCAGAGGTCGGGCTTTCATTGTGCATTTATGACGAACCTCAATGCTTCACATTTATGCAGTTTGAGATGAAATAGTCAAAAGCTTAGTTGGGAAATAAGAGCACTCCTCGCATTGGTCGAAGTGATCAGACAAGAAGAAAAATTTTACGGCATGATGCACAGTCCCATTGCAGTGTCACATCTCTTTGAAGGACATTGGGAGCACGGTGTTCCAATTTTGTAGACTTCGTGATCTACTTGGTTTCCGCTGAAAAAAAAGTAAACGCAAGAGTACCTCTATGACATCGTTCAACATTCGTCTGTATTGAACTTGTTTCTCAATTTAAAGTAAACAATGTTCAGGAAGCTCCCAGCCAGACGGATAGCTTATTATTACGAAAAAATCCAAGAAGGGAGCTTTTTTCCTTGGCGGAGGGACAATCAAGTGAGTGAGCCAATTAGAGTACTTGGGACTGAGCCTCATAGAGGGGAAAGGATTTTGAGGGAGAATATGAGCGAGTGTTATTCTCCCTGACCTTTCTCCCATCTCCTGGGCTTAGTGCTAGTGTCACCTACTATCAGCCCATTTCGAATATTCCCCCCCCCCTTAACGAGCCATAAGCGCGTTAAGAACACCGCGAAATCTGCGGTAGCGCAGGATATGGGTGCATTCTCCAGAAGTGATTTAAATAGGAGGTAGGATTTCGGGGAAAATGAAACTTGCTCAGGCTGCTGAAGCATATCCTACCATGCCCAATGTTCAGCCCCTTATACATCAAAAATAGATGTTTGATGATTAAGCTATGTATTTGTACAGTGCCCCCACAAATACATTCTCACGGTAAATTTTTTTATATAATTCCAACTATTTTTTTTTTTCACGTGTTACCGCCACAATGCCCCGTATCTTGCGATAGCGCCGCGAAACATCCGAACTCCAGCGGCAGAAGACGTTTTTCACTTGTTCTAGCGAGATTTGTCTATTTGTCTATTCAGCCTTATCGGTTGAAAAAAAGGAAGCATGAGCTCAGCTTCTGAGCACCTGAGACTACAGGAAATAAATTTTGGAAGTAGCCTAACATACTCAAATCTGAACCCTTTTCTGGTACATTGGTGAATTCTCGGCGAAGATAATTTGTTCAATTTTCTGAGTGAAGCTGTGCTTACCGTGGTGAATATCGGCACACGACAAAATAGGAGCCGCCGCATTTTCCAATGGCACATCCGACTTTATTCGTGGTTGACCACACAATCTGTGTATCAAATTACCATTGATGTACGAATGATATCCCTGCTCCACATCAAGTGAAACTCAGATTCATAAGTACTGATAAGGTCTCACCTGAGTCGCTCGAGCTACAGGGGTATTTCTGTGTCTCTTCTTGAATATGACTTCTCTAACTCCAATGGTATCGCCTTCCCTAATTGGTCTGAACCACGATCGCATAGCCTGAGCAATACATCTGCTTCACATTGTTATTTCTGCAGTCGAAAACTTGACGTTTGTCAAACTAACCCATTGAGCAGCTTTGTCGAAACTTTCCGCACTCTGAGGCTCCACCACAGCTACGTTCTCTCCCTGACCCTTCCTAGTGCCAGGATAGGACGGCACAAGTGCACATGTTTCAGCGTAGATCATTGCGTCAGCTTCCAGGTCGCAGTCATACTCCTAGAAGCAGTTGGAAAGAAATCACGAAATTCGTGGGTGGAAGCCATACCATCTTCTCCATGTCGGCGGCCTTTTTGAAGAAAGTACCATCGAATTTTTTCATTTGTCCCAGAGCCATACTTGATCTGAATGAAAAATCTACATAGCCAGGAAACATTTTTGTGTAGTTGTACACTAACCTACGGGAATTATGCATTTTGAGGAAGTGCTCTCTCAGGCTGTCTGTCATTCCTGTGTTGCTGAGCACTGATCGCTTTTACCTTAATAGAAGAACTAGAAATCCGGTCCATTTTTAGCTGTACGGAGCGAAAGCTAACCTGCAGGAACAGTTTCGAAAGATTGAGCGTGGCAGAGTGTTTCAGTAACGTTGCACGTTGACCGGGGATACGTTGTGCATTCTTGATCTGACTTACAAGGCGTGCCTGCTCGGTATATTAACTGGCCATTCCTAAGCTCACTGCAAACCGAAACCATCATGTTCGCTGCTCACCGTTATTTTACCACTGGATTTTCTTGGCTCCTCCTGTCTGGCCTTATCAAATCGGATACTATGATATCTTGCTAAACAGTGCGTATCTTGATACTCCGTTCAACCCTAAAATCCCATAGATGCGTCTGCCCGAGGATAAGTCCATTTTCCAAAACCACTCTACGAAGCTTTTGTCCCTTATTGGTCATTTTTGTTGCGTTCACTTGTTCTTTATAATGCTTTGTTTTTTAGAAAAATTATTTGTTAGAAAATCAGGCTCCAATCAGCTGTTCAGCTCAGAATTTCAAGATTTTTTTCGTCGAAACATTGTCAATAGAGTGAATTCGTTGCCCTGATCACGAATGTCATATTAATTTTTGACGCTCACGCAAATTGGAGCCACTTTGAAACGACGACTCTTATATCCGAGTTAGCTGTAAACTCATATATGAGGTTATTTGGTGAATTTATTACGGATATGACGTTCATTTTGACACCTACTTCTCCCTCATCTCCTTTTTTCACATTGGTATAATACAAACCCTAGGCGAGAGTACCCGAACAAATTCCAAAGGACCTGTGCAAATTACATTCTCCTCGGTTCTTGCCCCTCTGAGCCTGCCCCCGTATCCTCCTATAACTGCTCTGCGAGTACTCAAGAAGGGCTGTACACTGCAAGCATCACTACTTCGCTAATATCCGAAGGCTTATTGTTCTATATTGAATCAGCTGATTAGAATTAAAGCGTACGTATGGAAGTAAAGCTTACGGTTTGCTAAAGAAACACACGGCGGTGGCTTTGTCGTTGCAAGTCTGCTGAGAGCAACCGACGGAAAGTGTTACCGCACGATAAATCTGTCAGACGTAGTTGATTTTTCAACAAAAAATGTCCTTGTGAAGGGCTGTTCTTACATTTGCAAGCGACCTCAATCCTTCGGGGCCCTGGAAGTTCAGCACCATGTTGCCCCATTGGTATCTAGAGCGTCCGCTAGCGAAATCGTCGAACCGCATTTTGAGAGGATCGTCGAGCTCCTCTTTATGATATAATTTCCTTTGTTCGTTTGATAAGCTGAAAAACACCGAAAGTCTTAGCCTTGATACGAAAACGTAAAATATGAGCAATCACCTAAAATGTGCATTCATGGTCTTAAAATATCTCTAGCAGACTCAAAGTACTTTCTGAAGTTTAACTGTCCTCTGATTTAATTATTCAGATTAGATCTCCTGACACATCAATGTGGTTCTTTGAGAGCTTGAGCCGCTTTGAAACCATAAAGTGCGCCCTCAGAACAGGGTCAACTAACGCGTTCACACTTTTTGAAAAAATTTTGCAACCCACTCCGCTTTAAAAAGGTCTCGATGCGACCACCACCATCAGTCTTAGAACGGTTCCCCCAATACGAGCCCCCTTCCCACTTCTCCAACCATCATCCTAGCATCATGGCTGCTTCTATGGTATTTGATTCTCAGTATCTGATTCTGAGATCAGTCGACACACCCTCTGCCCATTTTTTTCCCTCCAAAACCGCAGTCGACCTGGTGGGGGGTAAGCGGGGTTGAATTTGTATGAAGCGGTCCTCCAGTTCTGATCAAATTTACGCTACCTTCGTAGAACTTCACTTCACCAACTTTGTCAAACAACCCGTAAAAATGGCAACCACTTTTCACGCCCTCCCTTCGCACTTCTCCAAAATTATTAACCTCGCTCGACCCCAAAATGCGACTTGCCCTCCTTTCCGAGACCACAAATGCGACCCCCTGGTTCGAATTGTGCGAACGGACCGTTGACCCTGTCTTAGAGTTGCAGCATGAGAATATTCAATACTCACTGTAGTACATTTCTCGTATACAATGGATTTTCAGGTATTTCACTAGGGCAGCCTTGCACAGCTTCTCTAGCCAGCCTCTCCAACCCACAGCTCCATCTCTGAACATAGTTGGTAAGGAGAAGAAATATTGGGCTTAAAAAAAGGTAAACCTGTTTGGCTGCCACACTGCAGAAATCTCAAGTAGGCAACTATAAACAGGAGGGGGGGGGGTGTGAAGAAAGGCAAAAAAATCCTTTGGCTCATGACGCACATTAACAAACCATCGTCGCAGAGGGTGCCGGCGTCTATGGAAGCTTAGCGACGGAATTTTCTCTAATGTTTCCCATGAGCAGAAGCAAGCCCTTTTTCATTGTCGTCGACGCCTTCAGAACATGACATCATCTCACATTTCTGTCGACTCCAAGGCTCAGCGTACCGTGATTTCTTCATTTGTAGCGACCAGGATGAAAATCGTGTCGAGGACGTGGTCACCTCAGTACGACCCCCCCCTCACATCGGGTCTTGATACGACCCCTCTAACTTTGATTTGATGTGAATAAGCGAGTTCCATCAATGTACAGCAAAGCATTCAGTTGCAGCGCGGTTTATCCGTGGGTCAGATTTGCCGAAACCCCGCTCGAAACCGTCGAAATCTACACTCTCGATGAAAAGGTTCCATTCCCCCATTTCATAACCTTTGGAGCAGTTGTGGTAGGGTTAGATAGAGCTGGATTTGCTACTACCGGGCAATATTGAAATTGATCTAAAAGCTTTACACTCGAAGATAGGGTCTCTCAAATTTTGTCGAGGCAGCGTCGAGGATGCTGAATTTTTCATGCGAGTTTTTGCCACTTAAAAGGCAATATCTCTCTAATTTGTAAGATCTTGAAAAAGGAAGATAGTTTTGGAAAGCGGAAGGTTTGCGCTTTCTAACAGTTGTTTAGCTTCTTCTACATTTTCTAGTTGAGGAGATATTTGCGTCGAGGATCTATCGAGGACGGATCTCGGCCACCTGAAAATCCGCTCCCTTCTTCACCATTGCAAGTTAATTCGTTGGCAACGCTCGAAATGTGTCTAGAATAATTCTCCCAACGTAAGCGACAAGAAAAGGGGCAATCGTCATCGTCCGATCTCGTCTCAGTATAGGCCATGCATCCGACCTCCACTCAAGTTGTAGAATCTATTGAACGGAATTACACATATGATGATGACCTGTTGACAGAAACTGTATTGTAGTAACCTAAGGAACAGCTTCATTTGCCCAGGGTCTTTCCAGAACTGTTGCCGTTTTTGCGACAGCGTCCCTAATAACAGTGTCATTCTCAGTGAGGCTGAG